GATGGAGCCCGCAACCCAGGCATGTGCCCATGACTGGAATTGAAGCCAGGACCCTTCATCTGTAGGCTGATGCTCTATCCACTGAGCCAAGCCAGCTAGGGCCATGATTATCTTTTTGAAGTTAAGCAGTCTTTACTCTTTTTGTCTAATAATAACAGCTAACATTTATTGAATACTTTCTGGGTGACAGTGTGCTAGGTCCTTTACATAGATTTTCTCACTTAATCTTTACAAGCTCTGGAGATGAGTACTAAAGTTCTTATGATGAAATTGATGCTTAATAACGTTAAGTGATTTGTCCAAAGTCACACAGTTAGTAGTAGTAGAGCTGGGATTTGAACCTAGAGCCCACTGTGTTGTGCGGATCTCACTGCACAGCACAAAGATATTTTGTTTCTGGGAGGCCTCTTGTAAATGGAATGTGGTCCTGATGACCCCTTCAATAGAGGCTAGTGGGGAAACAGACCTCAGGCACTAGATAACTTTCCATTTCATTTACTTATCTGATTTCTGTGAGCCATCCATTTATTCTTATTAGTATATAATTTATGAGACAGGAAATGCTGTGCTCTCCCAGAGTAGCAGAGAGGAGAAGGTCACTCACTAGTTTCTTCGTGGATTCAAAAAGAAAATGGAAAAATGAAATGTGACCGATCATTGAGTGGGAGGATATAGTCCAGTGCACATAGGAAAGAAGGTGTGTGTGTCACAGAAACACACCAGGGGAGGTGTGACTATGCATAAAACTGAGGGAGGGGAATGGTGGGGGTCAGATGAGATTGGCTCTTCAGACATAGCATTTCTAGGACTTCTGAAATGAATATCCTCTTTGGTCTGTGATGTAAGCTTTGTAACCTAGAGAATTAGGGAATGAGCTTTCCTCCTTGTTGTCTTTCATTTCAGAGGGATCATTAATCTCATGATGTTTCTTTTTCAGATCCCTTACTACTGAGGAGTGGCCTTTAACTATAGGGAAATCCTGGGGGATCCTAAGACCTTTCTCTATAGAGACCCAGTTCGTTCATTCGTTCGTTCGTTCGTTCGTTCCTTCCTTCCTTCCTTCCTTCCTTCCTTCCTTCCTTCCTTC